TTTTTGACAATTGTTTTCTTTTTTCAGGCAAATAACATTAACTATCAATGAAGCCTCAGACCTTCTAGATGAGCTGGAGAAAGCTGAAGAACTCTACATTAAGACCCCAGATATGAGCAGCCCAAATATGAAGGAAATGTCTTTCACCCTGAAAGCCTTTGGGAATCGGTTATTAGCCCCTGCTGAGTTTCGAGCCTCTCATCATGAAGAAGAAGAATGGACATAAATTCGTTAGAAAACATTCAGCGTGGGATGACTGGGTTAATACATAGCATTGGAAATCTTCCTTATGATGAGAGATTGAAGACTCTTGGGTTACATTCGCTTGTTGGACGAGGAATGAGGGGAGACCTGGTCGAGGTGTATAAGTGGAAGACGGGTATTAGTGGGGGGGATGTTAACGGGGTCTTGAGGATGTCTCTCCAAGAGGGAGCCCGCTGTGGTGGATTTAAATTGGATAAGTTTAGATTTGGAAGGGACATAGGAGGGTGTTGGTTTGGAGATAGGGTGGTTGATGGGTGGAACAGTCTACCTAGTTGGGTTGTTGAGGCTGGGACTTTGAGTGGTTTCAAGTTTGGGTTGGATGAGTGCATGAGTGGGAGGGGTTGGATTTGAGTGGGATTGCACGTAAGAGCTTATTTCATGGGTAGCATTGAAAATGGGTTGGTCAAATGTTTGTTGGTGGGATGGATTGTGGGGGACCTGCCTAGTGTGGGCCGGCAGGCCTGCTGCAGTGTTCCTCCTTTCTTATGTTCTTAAGAAGAAGAAGAAGAAGAAGAAGAAAGAAGAAGAAGAAGAAGAAGAAGAAGAAGAAGAAAGAAGAAGAAGAAGAAGAAGAAAGAAGAAGAAGAAAGAAGAAAAGAAGAAAAAGAAAAAAAGAAGAAAAAGAAGAAAAAGAAGAAAAAGAAGAAAAAGAAAAAAAGAAGAAGAAAAGAAGAAGAGAAGAAGAAGAAGAAGAAGAAGAAGAAGAAGAAGAAGAAGAAGAAGAAGAAGAAGAAGAAGAAGAAGAAGAAGAAGAAGAAGAAGAAGAATAATAATAATAATAATAATAATAATAATAATAATAATAATAATAATCAAGTATAGAACAACCGGAGGATGCAAGCAGAACCCAAAAGGAAGAAACGTAAGGTGACAGAAACTTTTATGAAGATAAAGTGGAGGAAAAATAAGGAAACACAAGCATGTAGCAGGATTTTCCCTGAAGTAGACTTCAGCAAGTATAGGGACTTTAGTGTAGTTGAACTCTTTGAGCTTTTCTTTGATGAAGAAATCCTTGGACACACAAAAGAGCAAATGACAAAATACTGTTTGATGACAAATTGGCCTGATGTTTGTGTAAGCGTAAGTGAACTAAAAGTTTTCCTGGCCATTTTTATTGTTTCCGGTTACAATTCATTGCCCAGCAAATCTATGTAGTGGTCACATGACCCTGATGTATACAACCAAGCTATAACTAATGCAGTGCGTCGAGACATTTGATTCCGTCAAGAAATGCCTTCATTTCAATGCATCTCAACCTAGACACAAATGATATGTACACAAAACTGCATCCTCTGACCACACACCTCCAAAAGAAGTTTATAGAACACTTCATCCCTTCACAAAATATTTCACATAATGAGGCAATGGTGAAATATTTTGGTAAGCATGCCTGTAAGCAGTCAATTCATAACAAACCTATATGTTTTGGCTACAAAATATGGTGTCTGCAAGCTTTTGACCCATACCAAGGAAAGACAGAGTATTTAAAATGTGATGTAGAATTATATATTCCATGCTTTGCTTCATACCACAAGATAAACAAAAGCAGCCAATAAAGTACTGTTAAAGGAAATCTCTTGAAGCTTTTCTATTTTTTTTTTCAGGACACTATTTACATTCAAAAATCATTATGGTTTCATAAAAAATGATATTTTTTCTCAAAGGTAAAGGTCAAGGCATCCTGTTTGACTTTGAGGACAGAGACGCGGAGTTTGTAAACAAACAGGTGAGCGCAGCTGGTGGGTTGATAGACCTTCATTTTCATATTGTAAAGCTTATATCATAATACCAACACATTGTGTACAAGTTGTCTCCATGCTGGCAAAGTAGAATAAATAAAAAGCAACACTCCCATTCTCATCTAACACACCATCTTTCTGTATTGTATTATGAGACCAGGTTACATAACATAAAAGGTGATATGAAAAAGACCTGGAAAGCCCTATCTGAAATTCTAGGAACTAAAAAGATATCCAAAAACAAAACAATCAAATTAACAAAATCAGATGAACCCCTACTCCCACCAACTGAAACAGCAAACAACCTCAATGTTTTCTTCTCCACCATAGGAAAGAATTTAGCCAGCAAAATCCCAAGCTCAAACACTCGTCCATCAGACTACCTCACGGGCACCTACCCGAATACACTATTCCTAGCCCCAACCAACCCAACAGAAGTCTCACTCATCATCAACACCCTTAAAAACAAGGCAGGAGACATGCATAACTTACCACCTTTTATGTACAAAAAAGCTTCACAAGTACTGTCACCAATTATTGCAACACTCTTTAACAAATCCATTGAATCCTCCACCTTCCTAGCAATTCTCAAAATAGTGAGGGTCACCCCAATCCACAAAGGAGGCGATCAAGTGGACTTGAATAACTATAGACCAATATCTAACTTACCTCTGCTCTCTAAAATCTTTGAAAAATTAATTCATACACAAATCTATTCCTACCTCATCTCGCACACATACTAAACACCTGTCGGTTTGGATTCAGGACTAATAAAAGCACAAATGATGCTATTATACATATGCTAGAACTAATATACAGTGGACCCTCGACCAGCGATATTAATCCGTTCCTGAGAGCTCATCGTTAATCGAAATTATCGTTAGTCGAGTTAATTTTCCCCATAAGAAATAATGGAAATCAAATTAATCCGTGCAGGACACCCCAAAGTATTGAAAAAGAAAAAATTTTACCACATGAAATATTAATTTTAATACACACAAACTGAAGAAGACATGCACAGTTACATGACACTTACCTTTATTGAAGATCTGGTGATAATTGATGGGATGGGAGGAGGGGAGAGTGTTGATCTTCTTAGTGTTTAGAAGGGGAATCCCCTTCCATTAGGACTTGAGGTAGCAAGTCTTTTTCTGGGGTTACTTCCCTTGTTCTTTTAACCCTTTCAGGGTCCGTCCCGTAGATCTACGGCTTTACGTTCAGGGTCCAAACCGTAGATCTACGCCATGAGCTCAGCTCACTCTGATAAACTGTGAGTGGTACATTTGGGCCTAGATATGAGAGAATACATCTATGTGGTATGTGTGCACCACATAAAACAGATCCTGCAGCACACTGTGTATAATGAGAGAAAAAAAATGAAATCATGATTTTTCGATTAAAACAGCAACTTTGCAGTGTTTTTTCGCATGTTTTTTATAGTTGTATTTGCAGTTTCTTGGTCTCATTTGATAGAATGGAAGACATATTACAGAAATAGAGATGATTTTGACTGGTTTTAGCACTGGAAATGGCTTGAAACTGAGCTCAAAGTAGCAGAAATGTTAAATTTTTGCCAATATTCAAGAGTAAACAAACGACCTCACACGTCTAATACACGTCAGCTGGTGGGTCTAATATAACATTCACAAATATGGTGATGATATTTTTACAATTATTACAGTATTGTGCATAACATAAATCTTCTATCTTTTGGCTGTGAATAAAAATTCATTATGTGAATAAAAAATCAAAATGGAATTTATTTGTAAAGCTCAAAACATAACTAATGAACAGAGGAAATGTTAGTTTAGTGCCAGGAATGCCTACATTGTTCATTCTGCACCCTATTTTGAAATTGGAATATTTTGAACTTTGTGTTAAATTGGCCAAATTAACAATTTCCGATCACTTTATTTTGTAGTTGAAACAGTTGACTTGGCGATTTCTTGTGCTCAATCGATAGAATAGAAGTAATACTAGTGAAATAGCTAAGAATTTGGTTGATTGGAATAATGTAATTGGCCTAAAATGGGAGTCAAAGTCGGCAAAATCGCCGATTCGTAAATATCACTGACACATCAAAATTCGCGAGAGCATAATTTCGTCAATTTTCCACCAAATTTCGTACTTTTTGTTTAATTACCTTCACAAAAAGATTCTCTACGATTTCATAAGAAAAAATAACAAATTTTTTTTTTTTGAAAATTCTTGGACACTGGTGCGTGACTCCAGATTTGGGCCTTGGACCCTGAAAGGGTTAAATTAAGTCTGTTCATAATGCAAAGGCATGATAGTGGCTCTATGCACTACAACTCATTTTTGTAATTTCATATTCTCAATGTAATCTTGCAAAGAAATAAAATTTGTTTGTTTGTTTAGAAGGAATGATACTCTGAGTGAAGGCATATGAAAGGAATAATTTTATACAGTTACCCCAAGTAATACAATTGTGTACACATTTTCTTTGGTGTTAAACTAGAGAAAACGTTATTCTTTCTGACACTTCAACAAGATGACTGGAAAAACATCTCATATTTATGTTAATTTATTCTACTGGGGATGTATTTATCACATTATATGTTACGTAGTGTGTTTGTTATATAATTTTGAAAAAAATATCATAGATGAATTAAGCAAAATGTCTATATTAATGTTTAATACACATTTAACGCTCCTCAGAGTGATTATTATTGTGTATTATTATTATTATCATTATTAATATGGCATCTTCAAGACTAATAAGACACTCTTAGTGATTTTAGCATGTACCTGAATGCCAGCACAGAGTGTAACTTTATTTAGGTACAGGTACACATAAGCATAATTAAATATAAAATATAAAATAAGAAATAACTTTTAACACTTGAAATTTTGGAAAGTTTCCAGACACAATGGAAAGTCATGCTCACAGAGACTGTAAAGAAACTGGGTGGCCTGTGGTGACCATATTAGAAAGTTGGGTGGGAGGAACTGTATAGAGAGTTTTGGTCATAATTTGAAATGTCCGCATTAGTGGAATGCTGTAAGGCGAAATGCCATAAAGCGGGGTCCTACTGTACATACACGGTACTTCAACAACCATTTCAAGTACTGGATGACCTACCTGGCATCAGCCTGCATAAAAAGCCTCATGTTGTCAGCATTTGCAGAGGATCCCATAACCATAGTAACCTCAGTATATTCCTGCATGATGGTGAGCATAGCACATGTTGCTGGTGGAGTGCAGTCCGTGAAGAGAGACACCAACAACGGAACATTATCAACATTTTCAAGATGTGGTTTGATGTTTTCAATGCCTTTGGGAAGTCGTGCCTGAGAAGTAGTATGAAAAACTATCTTTTAGCTTTATTTGCTCTGTAGACCACAGTAGACTCCTGATTAATGAATGTTTGCTTAACAAGAATTAAAAAAAAAATTGAGCATTTTTTTGCAGGTATCCATGGCAAGTAAATAAACTTGCTGCTAGTTTGATAGAACACATAACTAACAGTATATTATACCATACATTATTATATACACTTCCTGCTAGTTTGAAAGAACACAACTGAGAGAAAATTCATACCATACATTAGCACAGTAGACCATTATTGAACATGGTAGCTATGTTCCTGAAAATGCCGTGTTAAGTAACAAACCATGTTAGATGAACTGAAGAACTTATGGGAAAAATAGGGTTACATTCTTGAGAGCCCCCAAAAAAGCCAAACAACTTTTATTTTAGGCCTCCACCTCTTACAAAAATAAAAGTGAATATGTAATTGTAGTTCATTGCTGTCATGTATTATGTTGTTTTTACTGCTTAACCCTTTGACTGTCGCAACCCCAAATCCTGAGGTGTCTCCTGGTGTCGAAGAATATTAACCCTTTCAGGGTCTCCGATGAACTAGTATGGCTTATGCACCAGGGCTATTGACATACTACTATGCATAAATTCTAGCGCCATCAAATCTAGCGAGAGAAAGCTGGTAGGCCTACATATGAAAGAATGAGTCTATGTGGTCAGTGTGCACAGTATAAAAAAAATCCTACAGCACACAGTGTGTAATGAGAAAAAAAACTTTGACTGTGCTTTAAGTTTATACCAGCAACTTTGTACCATATTTTCGTATGGTATTTATGGTTGTATTCTAGTTTTCCTGGTCTCATTTTATAGAGTGGAAGATATATTACAGAAATTGAGATGATTTTGATTGGTTTCACAATGAAAAGTATCTTGAAATTGAGCTCAAATTAGTAGAAATGTTCGATTTTTGCCAAAGTTCAAAAGTAAACAAATCATGCCATGCGTCCAATACACGTCAACTGGTGAGTCTAATATTCTTCCACAAGTGCGGTGATATTATTTATACCATTTCTACACTAATGCAGTAGTCTGCATAACAGCAAATCTTCTATTTTTTGTGAGAATAAAAATTCAAAGTGGAAAGCAAAAGAAATGTAAGAGGGGCCTGGGGACATGACTAATGAACAAAGGAAATGTTATTTTAGTGCCAGGAATGTCTGTCTTATTTATTTTGGACCCTATTTGGAAATTGGCATCTTTTGAAATTTGTGTGAAATTGGCAAAATTGCTAATTTCTGACCACTTTACTGGATAGTTGAAATAGGTAAATGGGTGGTTTCTTGTACTCAATCAATAGAAAAAATGGAGTTCTAGTGAAATAGTTATGATTTTTGTCAACTAGTGCACTGGAATTGGCCAAAAATTGGGCTCAAAGTGGGCACAATCGCCGATGCTGAAACATTGTTAAGACTGCTAACTTCGTGAGAGCATAATTCCATCAAATTTCATACTATTGGTGTCATTATGATTGGGAAAAGATTCTCTATCTTTTCATAAGAAAAAATAATTTTTTTTTCCCGAAAAATTTTCGACCCTGAGAACAAGTTTAGGAGAGGGCCTCTCGACCCTGAAAGGGTTAAAAAAAAATATTTTTTCTTATCAAAATTTTTAGATTAATTTTCTAACTTTTTTAAGCCCCAAAACAAATTTTTGCGATCAGTACTTATGGAGATATAGAGGAGTAAAGTTGGCAGAAAATGAGCCATGTATGGCAACAGCCGCAAATGCCACTCACCTGGTAAACTTTGATTTACAGTGGACCCCCAGTTCCCGATGTTACCGGTATCCGATAAATTCGGTTGCCGATGCATTTGATCGAAAAAATTTTGCCTCGCTTCCCGATACAAAACTCAGTATGCGATACGATTTGTACGAGACGTGTCCACTTGTGGCCTGAACTCCCCCGTGTGTACCAGTGTTTACAAGCCAGCCAGTGTGCGTGCATCTAAGGATACATTCCATATTATCACTGTTTTTGGTGCTTGTTTCTGCAAAATAAGTCACCATGGGCCCCAAGAAAGCTCCTAGTGCCAACCCTTCGAGACCAAGGGTGCTAATGACTGTTGAAATGAAGAAAGAGATAATTGCAAAGTACGAAAGTAGAGTGTGTGTGTCGGAACTGGTCAGGTTGTATAGTAAACCCCAATCAACCATCTCTACTATAGTGAGCAGGAAAACGGCAATCAAGGAAGCTGTTCTTGCAAAAGGTGCAACTGTGATTATGAAACAGTGACCGCAAGTGTTAGAAAATGTTGAGAGACTGTTATTGGTGTGGATAAGTGAAAAACAGATAGCAGGAGATAGCATCTCTCAAGCGATCATTTGTGAAAAGGGTGATGAAAATCACCCTCACACAGCTATTGCAAGCCATGCTGGTGACTATTACACTGACAATGTTGTGAAACACTTTAGGAAAGTCATAAAGGAACGAGAGGTACAGGCCTCTATGGACAGATATGTTGTGCGACAGAAGTCCAGTGACTCTCAAGCTGGTCCTAGTGGCATTAAAAGAAGAAGGGAAGTAACCCCAGAAAAGGACTTGCTACCTCAAGTCCTAATGGAAGGGGATTCCCCTTCTAAACATTAACACCATCCACACTCTCCCCTCCTCCGATCCCATCAATCATCACCAGATCTTCAATAAAGGTAAGTGTCATGTAACTGTGCATGTCTTCTTCAGTTTGTGTGTATTAAAATTAATATTTCATGTGGTAAAATTTTTTTTTTTTCATACTTTTGGGTGTCTTGCACGGATTAATTTGATTTCCATTATTTCTTATGGGGAAAATTGATTTGCTTTCCGATAATTTTGGTTTACGATGAGCTCTCAGGAACGGATTAATATCGTGAACCGGGGGTCCACTGTACTTTCATTCCAAGATTTCTTGTTTTTTTTCACTATTTTATTTTTTCACGTAACTTATGTGGCCTGTGAGTCCAAGATAAGGTGCTATGTACATATATACACTCGTATATAACACAATAAGCACACAAGCATAATTATCAATATATTGTTTACAAAACTTGTTTACACAAACAATACAAAATTTTTTTTATTACTATTGCTCTATAACATATATAGAAATGTGCAGTCACTGGACATGTTCCTAGAAGTTCTGCAGCTTGTGGAACTCTTTGAAACATGGTTTCATACACAATGGTGTTCTACACTCCTCACACATAAAACGAGTGAGTCTGCATTTTTGTGGGCTTTTTTTTTATGTGTACAGACAAAACAACTCATCTGAGCAGTTTTCTTCATAGTAGTAGCAGACAGTTGTGTTAGGCAGTTATCCTAAGTAAATGTGTCACATCATTCCTTCCTACCTACCTATCTTTCTTTCTTCATTCTTTCTTTCTTTCTTCATTCTTTTTTTTTTTCTTCACTCTTTCCTTCCTTCCTTCTGGTTTATATAATATATATACACACATATAGTCAATGAACACTTTGATTGTATTGTGTGTTTGAGTGTGTGGACTTCTAAATGTGCTGAGCCAGGGTCTGGCAGCTGTCAAAATGACATGTTTTATTATTACTCACTCCCACTACTGCCTGTCAAAACAATGGGGTCTGATGCTCACTTCCCCTCCATCCTCCTACCTAATTATCTTTCTTTCTTCTTCTTTCTCCTTTTTTTTCTTTCTTCTCCTTTCTCCTTCTTTCTCTTTCATTCTTTTTCATTCCCTTTCATTCTCTTTCATTCTGCTTCATTCTGCTTCATTCTGTTTCATTCTGCTTCATTCTCCTTCTTTCTCCTTCTTTCTCTTTCATTCTTTTTCATTCTCTTTCATTCTCCTCCATTCTCCTTTCTCTTTCTTTCTTTCTTCTGGTAGCCTGGGCATTGCTTTTGGTCACAAACTCCTGAAAACCAGGAAACTGATCTTCACTGACACTTCCATCTGTGTTAGAGTGATCACTTGGAAAGAGAAGAGTCCCAGATTTGCCGGGGAGTCACATATTTCTTACCGCTAGGCATGCTGAACAAGGACTACTGAAATGGCATTCCCACAATGCACCACTGGCTCCATGATTTTTTTTATATGGTGCACACTGACCATGGAGACCCATTCACTCACATATGGGCCTACTAGCTTTCTCCTGCTTGATTTGAAGCCGCTAGAATTTTGGCACATTAATACGTCAAACACATTGGCTCGTAAGATGTATATATACAACCAAAACAGTCAAAGGGTTAAGACTACAAATATAACAGAAGTAACAGTATTTCTTACCTTAAATTGTGGGTGCTGGTGTTTGTGGATGATTGTGAAGAGAGTGGAGAGTTATGTTGTGGTCCTACTGGGCTGAGGTGGATGGTAGAGGTTCTGGTACTGAAGTTGATGGTTGTACTGGAGTGTCTAACTTTAAGTCATTCAGTCAGCCAGTCAAGTCTTTCAGTCAGTCAAATCAGTAAGTCAAGTCATTCAGTCAAGTCATTCAGTCAGTCAAGTCATTCAGTCAAGTCATTCAGTCAGTCAAAGTTATTCAGTCAGTCAGTCAAGTCAGTCAGTCAAGTCAGCAAGTTGGTCAAGTCATTCAGTAAGTCAGTCAAGTCATTCTGTCAGTCAAGTCTGTAAGTTAAGTCAATAAGTCATGTCATTCAGTCAGTCAAGTCATTCAGTAAGTCAGTCAAGTCATTCAACAAGTCAATCAAGTCATTCAATAAGTCAGTCAAGTCATTCAATAAGTCAGTAAAGTCACTCAGTCATGTCATTCAGTCAGTCAAGTCATTCAGTCAGTCAGTCAAGTCAGTAAGTCAAGTAAGTTCTTCAGTCAAGTCAGCAAGCTATTCATTCAAGTCAGTAAGTCAGTCATTCAGTAAGTCAGTCAGTCACACAAACTTATGTTTACCTCTTTTTGTGTGTATAAAGTAACACTTCATTACGCCACAGGTTATCTCGTCAAATATCTTTGTTTTCTTTGTTAATTCTAAGACTTAAATGCTTATACCTTTTCTTGCCACTTTCA